TTACTAGTAGCGAACCTTGTTACTACTAGTAAGGAACTTGTTCCTAGCGATGCACTTGTTACTAGTAGCGAACCTTGTTACCCCGCCAAGTTGGCTTCGGCCGCTGAGGTTCAAATTGTTGCCTCCTCGCCATCGGCCAATTCTGCGGGGCCTTCCGTGGCGAGCATCCTTCGTGAAGAGCCTCCGAGGCTGAAGTGGAGCTGCTTGGCCACCCTTCATGGTGACCATTTGGGTGGATTGCGGTATGGTGCGTTTTGCATTGTTGGTGAAACTTGGTGATGAAACCCATCTAAGCACCTGAGCTTGAGCTCGTCATCTAAGCTCATCATCTTAATGTTGACCGGTCCTTTTTGGTGAGGAGATGGGGAAAGGAGAGGATTCAACAGTTCAAGCTGTAAACTCTGCATCAAAGCCGACAGGAAAGACTGAAGACCGCCCCCGTAGGTGATGGCTCAATCTGGGTCCGAGAAGAGCTGCAGGGCGTGTGGAAGACGAGCTCGAAAGCAAGGCCTTTGGGCATCCTGAAGGGGCTTCGCTGATTGGCGGAAGAGATTTATATCGGTATATTTTGGTGGAGCTCAACTCTCAGGATGGGATGGTTTTGGAGGGAGACATTGCCCTGCTTCCCTCAGATCTCAGCTGGGAGAAGCTTGGGGGTCGCAAATGAACAGATTTCTAGTACGAAGTAGTTGCTAGGCCAGGAATTTGGAAGTGGTGTTGATTGGTCACTGGAAAGGGTTGATTCATACCTGGTTCTTGGTTTCAGCCTAGCTGGCGGTTGCTTTTAAATGTATTTGTTCAAAGGGCCGAGCCCAACAGCTACAGGCTACGGGGACTTCACATGATTTACTGAGTCTTGCCAGATAATAGGGACGTTTTTTTAAGAGGTAGCGGGCGGACACAGCATTTTTCCAGAGAACCTTGTTGCTTGCGAGATTTGGTCATGCTGAGCCACCAGCGTGTATCCCTGCGAGATTTTTCTCAACTGATCTATCTTTCAGGTCAATAGCCCTTTGAACCAGAGATCAAGTCCAATCACCAACTGATTGGATGGTCGTCTTCCAGAGGTCAGGTAGTCCATTCTTAGTTTTTCTCTCCAAGTCGGCCGTTCCCCTTCACATCCCTTCACTGTCCATCTCTTTTGAGATCCATCCGGGTGGTGATGTCGGGCTGCCACCCTGCGCTCCCCCGGAGGTACAGCGTGGTGATCCGGGGCTGGAAGGTCTATTGGGATCGAAAACTGGAGTCCAGTCCCACCCAGCTGTCCATGGGCCCCATCTTCCCCAACTGCACGGCCACCTGGATGCAGAGCTCGTCGCGTGAGCACGAAGACGAGGTGGCTGCCTGGGCTTTGCTGGTGGCTGCGAGGTTCCATGTTTCCAAGTGCGGGGTTCTCCGACACTTCCCTAGTTGTTGCCACATTCACTGCCAACAGTTCAATGCCCTGTTTAATCATGTTACATCATGTTACCCATGTTTCTAGTTGGCTGTTGGTTCAGCATTTGAGTCCACCAGCCAAAAGACCTTCCATCCTAGGCCCCTAGGCAGACGAACCAACAACAACGAGTCACCCTGCCATGTATCGAAGCTCCGCCACCGAGGTGACAATGCTCCTGGACGCTGGATGCCAAGGGGTCTACGATGCGGGCCCTCCATCCAAGCTGAAATGGTCGGATGGGGAAGCCGCTCGCATGCATGTCTGAAATTCCACTTCCTCATCCTAATAGAGCCAGTCACGGAAGCCTCGCAACCAACCTCAGTGCAAGATACGATCTTTTGAAGCAAGGTTGGATACCAAGGGGTTGTTCGGGAGACCCTGTAGACTGAAACTGCACCCTCCAAACCCTTCGTGGAATCTAGAGGGCATGTAAGGAGTTCATGTTCCTGGGAACCCAAGAGCCCCTCCAAAAAATTAAGATAATTGGTGGCCGCGAGACTCAATACGCAGCAAGCTGTATTTTCAATGCCTGTAACGGGAACTTGTTCAATAGGATCAGTGTAATGGAATTACGGTATGAGTGCGGAGTTTCAATATGTCTCAAATATTCTCAAATGCTGAAAGTTTTCTGGATGCCTTTCCAGACATCTCCAATTCATGAGCTGTTAGTTGAGTTGTTTACCAGATGGCCTCAGGTGTGGACACGCAGTGGCTTTGAAAAGGCATCGGTGCGTTTGGAGGGCTAGGAGAGGAGCGGAAGATGTGGAGGCTGACAGCGTGCGAGTGTTAGAAAACACGGAAAACAGGATGAGGATGTTGATTCCATGCCGATTCCATGCCTTTTGAATCTTTTGAGGTTCGAAGGCGCTAATGGTTTCTGTAAGTCTTGAAAACGCATATGAACTTGACTCCGTGGGCCCCCGAGACCATTCTATACAGAAGTTCGGAATGCTTTTGAAGGGGCTGTACCTCGTTTATATCCCAAGAGCAGTTGGCCGCCCTTCCGACCAATGGAGATGGACGTGGATGCAATCGACTCCAGTTGGTGCGGAGCGGATCCCACCAGGTAGCTAATGGTAGCAGCTGATGAATCAGCTGATTGCAATGTTTTTCTTCAGCACATGCTGAACGCTCGAAATGTACAGGCTTCACAGTGCCCAAAAAGAGGGGCCTGCTGTGTTGCTAGAGGTGGCAGAATCAACGGGACTTGAAAGGAGCCCGTTGGACGCTTCAAAAAGTGGCTCCGAGGGTTCGAGACGTGCATGTTTTAGTTTCGAGTACTGCTTAGTCGGTGGTTGGCAACCGTCGCTCTAGGAGTGGCAGCCAACAGAAGCATATAAAAAGGAGGGCATTGTCAGCCCCCCTTTCAGAGGGGTCAATGACAGTGTCGATGACCACTTACGAGCAGTGGCGCTATCCTTTCAGAAGGGTGATGTCTTCCGTTGAGAGGCATCTCATCGAGGTCAACGTGTTTTCTTTTTCATAATATGTGTTCACTCTTCAAATTGTGGTTCAACGTCGGTTTGTGCCTCCTAAGCAGCGCCATCAGATGTTCGAAGCTTTCGGACATGGTGTGGTGTCCCGTGAAGCTCCAGGGATGTGATCATCCATGCATGGAAAGATGGCAGGATGAGTACGCAAAGCCCTTTCGGACCAACTCCATGTCGTGGTGCGACGGTCAAGCAACCTCATCGATATTGGCAGGCCAATTTTCCCCACAGGAGATTGATCACAGGATCACTAAAGAGGGGTACGTTTGCTGGACATTTCGATTGGTCAGGTTTCATTCGTGTTTCACCATTTGCAAGGACCACCCACCCCTCCAATTCCATCATTTCCACCGACTTCAGCACGCTGGGACCAACATCCGGTCCTTGCGAATTGCTGAGGTGCGGACTCGAGCTGGCAAAGGCGCTCGAAAAGGTTACAGGCTTGGGAAGTCTTGGGAGCTGCGTCGTTGGCAGGGTGTAGAGTCTGTACATGGGAGGGAAGTGCTGCCCAGGCGGCTTTGTCCGATGCTTTGGCGGTGCGGGATGGGTTGGGCCAGTGCTTGGTGGAGAAATGAACAAAGGGCAACGCGACTAGGAGCAAGGACGCAAGCCTCATGGTGGTTCAAAAATCGAGATCTCCCAATTTGGCATTTGGCTGATTCTGCCCAGTCCGTGCGCCAGGTAGTCCATGAATAATGATGAAAAATGAATGTACACGTTCTACCCAAGGTGCCTAGAAATGCCTAGGCCTAGCTACAGCCAAGAGGTTTGTTCTCCAAATGGCGGGACACACCCCAAGCCCCATTGGCTGGGATTTTGGCTTTGGGGAGTCTCTTCATGTTAAGGCACGCGAAAGAGCCTGGCTCAATCAATGAATGCCAACAGCTGCGGCCACTCTTTCCATGGCTTTGATCCATGTCCAATCATTTTGTGGCATTCTCACCATCATCCCACTGCAAGTGGTTGCTGCATTCGCACCATCCCGAGATGCATCGGGCTACTGTGTTACAACTTCAACGCAAGACGTTAAACCTCAGAAGTGACGTGGAATGGATACATGTAGATCTTTTTGGCGATCTTTGGACGATGCTCCAACCCTCCCAAACTTCATGCTCCCGCAGTTTGGCTTCGGACCAGGCATGGGGATGGCGAATACCTGAAGGACCCCCGGCCCGATCTCTTCCGCGTGCGGCGGTCCACGCGATCCACACCTGACGAGCGTGGCGGACCAAAAAAGGGCTCCTACAATAGTCGGAGGTTTTGGGAAGTTCATGGGACAGACACGTTTGGCGGAACATGCCGATGGAGCTGGAAAGTGGTCATGGAGACGCCATTTGTTCGTCAAATGTTCAGGTTCAAGGCCTTATGTTTTGAGAGATTGGATGCCGCGAGGTGGTCGTGGAGGAGACTTCAATGGCGAATTGCGGCTTCCATTTCTTTTCACCAGAATGACCGGCTTGAACCACTTCATGATGGCAACGGGTTTTTGTAATTGTAACATATTGCCATACTTGTTCCATCTGCAAAAATTAGCTTGACAGCAACAATGTCCAAAAAGTCATCAAGCTTTTGTGAATCCCTTATGATCCCTTATTATGTAACTCTTCTTTGGTCCTTTTTCCTTCATGTTCCTTCATTTTCCTTCATTTCGAAACCGGGACGCCCGACAGGAAGAGCTGACTCCAGAAGAGTCTCGTCCAGACTCTGCTGCAACAGGGGGTCCGAACCTCAGGCGAACCTAGTGTTAAGCCACTATTCACTACTCGTAGTAGTGTGCCATGAGCAACGTCAGCAGATATGGAGCAGTCTTGTTCTTTTCGATTTCAATTTGTGTTTGTATATATATATATGATATATATGCATATTAATAGCTATATAATATTTTATATAGTATATTGCATAATAAGGATAAGACAAATATTAAGAATATAGTCACCACATGTCTCCATGTGTGCGAATGTTTGGGATGTGGCAGGATGGGTGTCATCAACAATTACTGTATGCAGCTTACTTATATATGCATCACTTGCCATGAATTGATTATGCTGATTTACTGTACACATATGTATGCTGCATTTGTGTTGTTTCCCTCTGGGGCACCCGGGCCGGTGGCCTCCATGCGGCCGGTTTACACTTCCGGACTTGGTGTTGAACTGACCTCAGGAGGGATCATCGTGCGCTATGCGAAAGGCAAGGGCAAGGTGCCAGCCTTGGACGAGTTCCTCTGGCGACACAGACGACATGAAGGATGTGTGCGCAGAGTAACTGTAGGATTGTAATGGTGTGTGTGTGGATGTGCAAGGTGGCTGTTTGCTCAAGAACCCCATTTCCATAAACGGTCTATTTTGACAACTTCTTATGACAAATTCCAAGCCGTGGACCGCCAAAAGAGGATGCTCCTCCACCGGTTGAGGTGCTCATCCGGAGCCCACCAGTACAGATCCCAATAGATTGATTGTCCCATGCTCTATAATAGGACTTTAACACGGTTGGTGCACTTGCTGTACATCAACGTTCAACAGCATCCGTTATGTGAATGGTTGTGCTGCTTGTGGGGACGGTTGCACGGGGCAAACGATTGAAACGTGTTTGTGCAGAAAGATGGTAAAAGAGGTTCATTGTTGTTTCACTTCTTTTGGATCTCCGTATGTATTCCTCTTTTTTGAGCGTGACCTTCCAAATGGGAGGCCTTTGGCGCAGTCCTCAGATTGGAGGGGGCGACCGGGGTGAAGGCCAACATGCATATGGGGAGGGATTGAGAGGTATGGTATTCTGGGTCATTCTGTGCCTAAGTGGTTTACAGGTTGTTTCCCGCCATTTCACGCCACATGTTTCTTTGCGCTTTGCTTTGCAGGGTTCCAGTCCAGGGGCCCTACTGCACGGCTTGGTCTGCTTTCAGTGGCACTTGAATGGAGGGATTTGGACCAGTGACTTGGAGAGCCAAAGAACGGGGAGCCTCAAGGCAATTGGAGAGCCAAATGGCAAAGGATTCGCAAAGGTGCACATTTGATGCTTATCTATTTGATGTTTCTCAGGCCAGATTGATGACTGAAAGGTTAGTAGACTTGTTTCAAGATTTTTTGGCGTGTAGTCAACGCTGCATCAAAGTGTTCAAGTTTACTCAACCAAACAAACCAAACACTGGCGGATATCTCATATGCTCACACATGTGTCATAATAAGGGCATTTCTCCCAAGGTCAACATTTAGCTGAACTAATTTCAAAAGCTCCGCTGGCCGCTCCGACGTCCTGACCAAAGCGACGCTTTGTTGAGGAAAAGGCAAAGGCGGCAAAGCGCTTGGGGCCAGGCCGAGCCAAGTGGCCGAAAATGGGAACTGGATGGCTCTGGAAGGAGGAGCTGTGAGTTTCATGGTTCAACTCGCATGTCATCCCCAGCCTCAACAAACCGGTCACAGTGAATCTACAACGGAGACCTCCGCCTGAATTCGCAAAGGAGTTCGTTTCGGAGCGGAACCGGTGGTTCTTTCGAGGCGTGGTACGCCGAGTGACCCAGCGAGACAAGAGCTGCTGCGGGCCCAGCATGGGGCTTCCATGGGATCACTTGAGGAACTTCTTGTGGGATTTGGCTGGGCTGGTCTTGCGCGTAGTTGGCTTGTGGATCCAATAATGAATTTATACAAGCACGACATCTATAGCATACAGTTTCTCAGATTATACGACGATTACTAAAACATATGGATTTGCCATCCCCGACCCCAATTGTAAGGTGACGCTCTCCTGGCCGAGAACTCTCGACCTCTCTCCATGGCGGCCCCACGTTGTCGACGCGCCCTCGGAATGCTCGGACCGTGTGGATCGCTTTCAAAGCCTCGGGGGTGCTCTTGGGGCATAGGCTGCGGGGCTGGAGAAGAACATCAACACCTTGGGGCCCCATGTCCTGGATTTGCAGAACACTACCCTGGAAAAATGGACATGATGTTGAAGGCACAAAGGATGCAGCAACAACAGTGTCAATATAGTGCTTCATTTCTTGCCAGCCGCGTGTGTTCCCCGGTCTTGTCAATCTGGCACCACAGGAAGGAGGTTCACAACCCAAGATACAACACGTGCCTACAATCCTTCACCCCTCAGTCCCTCACCTCGAGATTCGACACGGCATGGGCAACATGCCATGTCGATGTTTCGGAGCTTTGGTTGGTTGGGACAGAAGCTATGGGTTCCTCCTAACTGTGTTGCTTTGATCCTTCAATTTCCCTCCAGATCTCGCCTGGAACGGTCCCTCAGATCTGGCTCCCTCATACCTGCATGAATGTGGGTTCACAGAATGGTGCCGCAATGTTTGCTTCAAGCTGCCAGCAGCTGTAGCTAGGACCGTCCGTGCACTCTTTAGGGCAGACACTTTAGCCCGGAAGTTTCAATGCTGCTTCTATGCACTTGATGCTGATTACTCGAGGTCAGTAGGGCTCCAGCGCTTCCAGATTCGAAATATGAGGTTGTTCCAAAACCGAGGAGAAGGGTCCCGATCGCCAACCTTCAAGGTCTTGGATGGTCTTGGACATTTGAACATGCTTCATTGTCCACCTTCAAGTTGCAGAGGAGGTGCTTGGAATCCACCGGACGCGGATCAGGATTTGTGCGTCCCCTCACCAACCTCAGCTGACTACTCCGTGCAAGGGCCCCTAGAAAGGCCATTGCCCTCTACAAACACGTGCTTTTCCACTTCTGCCACGTCCTGTCACACGCTGCCGAGGGGTGCTTGCTGCTGTGGTTCCGAAACCGCCACTCATCCAGAGTCCACGACGCGCTTTCAAAAAGGACCGGCCGTTCGGGGAGCAGATTTTGGAGTTGAAGTTCCAAAATCTGATCTTTTTGGGACTCAGGGTATCTTAGGGTCCCCCAGTTCTGTGCCTGCAAAAAGCTTCGCAAGGCGTCTCAGAGGTGTCAACACAAGCTTCACAGATGCCCTGACCTTCTCCAGCTCGGAAGCTGCTTCCTCCTGTGCCGCGAGGAGGTGCGAATGACTTGTCCTGTGGCCCGGTGCAAAACCGCCGCTCGTCCGCAGCGGTGCAAAAATAGCCGAAAGCGCCAGAACTCAGCGTTGGGCCGAAGAGCAGCCAGAACTCTGCTTCCGAAGGTCCACTTGGACTTCTATTTCCGAGAATTTTGAATGAAGAATGACTCAGAATGACCATGAATCAACTCTCTTTGATCCACTAGACTATAATGTGTATGTTTTTCCCTGCTTAGCTTCGTGATCCATGGAGAAATGCCCCACTTGGTACCTCAAAAGGGCATTCGATGCGGCCAAGGTTCCTGTACCGATCTTTGGTGCTTGCCGTTCCTTTTGGTCGCCCCTTGGAGAAGTGATGAGGCACCAGTAGCAGATGGCACAGAATGGCGCAGAAAACCTCCGATTTGTTTGGGTGTTTGTGACCTTGGAAAGATTGGAGGCAACGTGCCCAAGGACTTTAGGTTTTAGAGGCTTTTCTCACTTTGTCATGTCCAGTTCCTTGATTGGAACCGTCCGTGTATTTCCAACTCCCTTGGACATTCTGGATCATTCTGGATCCAGTTGAGTCCGAAGTGTTTAGAGAACCTCGCCCAGCCCAAAACTGGCCCAAAACCCTTCTTCTGTGCTCCGGTTTTTCTTCCTCAAACTCTTGTCGAAATGAAGCATTGTAGAGGAAAAGAGTTTCTCTCTTCTTGACCTGTGGTTGAGTTTGGATTCGTTTTCGAAAACACCCCATAACATCCCACAACCACTTAAGTAAGCACCCTGACCTGTGTCTCAACATGCCTGGCAGTGTATCTCACGCTGAGGCTTGGGTGGCCTATCTCGTCGTCACCTTTGCGGGCTTTGCAGACGGATATCCTGCGAAGCTTTACCTGCCACGCGACTTCAGTGGGGCGTACTGCAGCGTGGCAGCTTGGAATGCAGTAGACCCCGGGACTGGACCGGGCACGTGAGATGTTGATCATTTTGGACTCTACTGAGAGCATGAGCTCCAAATCCATCATGATCTAAATAGATGCGTGAGAGTGGAAGGGAGTTGGCTCAATTGGGCTGCAAAGGCCAAGTGGAACCCACCACTTGGCGCAGGTCAACATCTCGAGATTCAAGATGATTCAAGCTCAAGAGATTTGCCCAAGCCAAGCTTGCAAACTGGATGAAAAGCTGTTCCCAAGGTTGTGCCGGCTTCGAACGTGCTTGTAGGGTCCTAGGTCCTAGACAAAGCAGAAGCAAGGCTTCCAGTGGAGGGACTGAGACTATCAATTGTCAGTGGCGGGGCATCCCCTTAAATAATCATCTCCCAACCGAGCTCGACACTTCCAAAAATGGGATCGCGCAATTCCTGGCCGCCTTGCGGGGTGTTTTGTTTCTGCCGAATTCCTTCTAAACCATGAGACCGGTGTCTAAGGAATCGAATTGGAATGGAGGTCCCAACACTTTGGACTACAAATATTTGGGCTTCACCATGAGACTTGGCTCGCCGACTCCGTCGGCCCCCGGGGGTGGCTCAAAACTGGCATGGCATCGTGGCTTCTTAGAAGTGTGGTCTGAAACGTGGGACGGTTTCAACCACACAGTGTCAATGAGCCTCATGCGTGCATTTTCAGACGTTTGACATCATCTTCGGAATGTTCAAGCTCGAAGCGTCAGTTCCACAAAGATCGGGTCTTTGGAGTATATTTATAGTTGCAATGAATGGTTTGTTTGGTTGAGTTTGGCGTCATTCAGGAATGTTACGGCAACCACCGACTTGATCGTCGCGGGCTAAGCAAACACGTGTGTTTCACAGAGGGGAAGATGGCACAATCTTGCACAGAGCGGATTTAGTTGCTTTCTTTATGGCCATATGGTCCATATGTACGCTGAGATCCTGGCTTTGAGTATACCATAGTATACCATCACACCTCCGCACAGTGGATTGTGAGCATGTTTGCCTTGGGCACCGCCCATGAAGTTGACAGATGTGCTGGGCCTGAACGGTGGCTCATTATTGTTGTTTCACGCTAGGATGTCGAATACATGTCTCACTTACCTACCGTTTGGCTCAAGGAAAACCAGGTGCGACTTGTTGGTAGTTCTCGGTCGTTTACCTGTAACTACAGGTTATCAGCCGTATCGCCATAAGTGCGGTACGTGCTTTCTACTAGCTGTGGTCTCACCCCACCATAGGTAGTGCACTATCTAGAGGCCATGGCTGATGATGATGGTTCCCGTGGTGACCGCTCACGCTCAGGCTACGTTCCTACTTCCCCTGCGATGTCCAGTTCACCTGCTACTGATCTCCCTGTCGTTCCGCTGGAGTTGCGTGTACCAATTGGGCCACCGACGTTCAGTGTACAGGGGGACCTGTTGCCTAGTGGTCAAGCCCCGTCGCCGTTTCAACCTGAGTTTTCTCCTGTGATGAATGTCCAGAACGTTGATGCAAGACAGATCCATCAACAAGCAGTCTTCGTCAACGAGGACAGGTCAGCTCAGGTAGCTCAGATCGCGGAGTTGCGGCATCAGGCCATTTTGGCCGAGCACGGGCAACAAGTAGCAGAGGATGCTAGGCATTTTAGAGACTTAGTGGAGAACCAAGCTAAAGTGGCTGTCCAGGAGTCTAGGGAACAAATTGAGGCTTTAGCCAATCAACGATTGAGTGACATGAACCAAGCCCATCAAAATCAACATCTTCATGAACAACGGGCTTACCTAGATCGCCTTTCGCTCGAACGACACGCCGTCGTTGAGAACGAACGCGCCTCTGCCAAGCAAAGAGAGGATGCACTTCGGTCAGAGTTAGCAGAACAGAGTCGAATCATCAAGGAGTTGAGAGAGAGGTTTGACAACGCCTCGGGGAACCGAGCGCCTGCACCATCAATGCAGCCACTTGGGTCTCAGGTGTCCCCAGCTTTGCCTCCAGCGAGCCTTCGCACTCAGTTGGAGAAGCCCGGGATCGAAGGCGGTGATGAGCCTCATCCATCCGATGCTGATGAAGAGGGTGGTGACAAATCAAAGAAAGACAAGAAGAAGAAAGGTAAGGATAAGAAGAAAGAGAAGAGCCCTAAGAGGGGCCGCTCGAGGGAGCGCAGAAAGAAACGCTCTCCTTCCCCATCACCCTCGTCACCCAGTTCATCAGGAGGGAGTGATGACTCAAATGACTCAAGCTCTGAATCATCGCGTCTTGCACGCATCATTCGCAAAGAGCTGAAGAAGCAGCAAAGGAAGTCGAAAGACAAGGATCATGAGAGTAAAGCCAAAGAGGCTGACAAAATTCTCATTCCCAAGTTCCCCACACCTGAGAAGTACAGAGACTGGAAGATCAAGGTGAGGGACAATATTGCTGCAGCTTCAGCGAAGCCGGATGAAGCGAGATCTTGGGTTGGGAAAGTATACAAAGATTCCCAAACCATTGATGCCTTGGATGATTCAGAGGGATTCGCAACCCTCGACGCAAAGCTTCTTGCAAGCTTAACCAATTGCGCTGAGGGGGACCTCGGTCGGCAGATTGCTACATTCAAGGAGTTGCGTGCTCGTGAAGACAAGAACGTGAAGGGTAGACACTTGCTCCTTCGGTTCCACGAGTATTTTGCCACAAGCATCCAGCATGGAGCAATCTACGGACTCGAAGACCTCATGTCCGTCAAAATGGTCAACGATGACCTCAAGGGTTTTATAAATAAATGGGATAGCGTTCTTGCCGGAATGAAAAAGGAACCAGAAAATAGTGTTCTGGAAGCCTATTTCCACCTGGCAGTGAAACGTTTCAAGCCACTTGAGCATGATTTGGCCTTGTACGACCGTGCAGCCGATGGAAGCAAAGAAAGAACGTACGACTTCCTGATCACTGCTGCCCGGGCCTACCTCGAACGGAGAAGGTTGGAAAAGATGCGCGACGCCACGACGCGTTCGCTCGGGTCCAAAGACACAACCATGCCAGCTCCGGAGGAGAAGAAAGGCATCTGCTACGAGTTTCAAAAGACCGGAAAATGCAAGCGCGGATCATCATGTCCTTACAAGCACGAAAAAGGCCGCGAGAAAAGCAAAGGAAAGGGAAAGGGCAAGGATCGCAGCCAATCTCGGTCAAGATCGCTGACACCAGGATCTCGCAAGGAGACTTGCAAGTTTTGGAAGGCAGGACATTGCCACCGAGGAAAAGACTGCGCATTCCAACACCCTGAAAAGACTGTCCCTGCGAAGAAAGAGGACAAAAAGAGGAAGAAGAAGAAAGACAAGAAACCTCGCAAGCGAAGCAGCTCACGAGGATCATCAGGCTCCGACAACTCAACTGGCTCTGAGAGTCAGAGGAGAAAAGGTGGGAAGTCTTCCTCTTCCAATGCACCGGCAGCGGTATGCCTCCTTCGAGCAGTGGTCATGGCCGCAGTGGTCTCTCAGGGATCCTCCGTCCTCATCACTCGCCCGCTGGGAAGCGTGGCCATGCCAGTCCTTTCCGCTTCAAACACTATGTGCACCGATTTTGACAACACAGAAAACATTGACATTTTTGTTACGCAAAGAGTTCGTTTTGACGATCAACCAAACGTTTTCAATCATGCTGTTGAGTCTTCTTCCAGTTGGAGATCCGTTCAACCCCGGAGTAAGAAGAAACGAAGACCCTTTACACCAGGTCGACCGGAGCATGCTGAGGCAGTTCGTGTCGCTACTGAGGACGCATCCATTGCAGCATCACACCTTCAGGATGCTGTCAGGAACGAACTGTTGTCCTTGCCGGCAGAATGTTCGTACCTGTGCAACTCTGATATAGGTTGCATCAAGTGTTTTGAGAGGAGGTCATGTCCAACGGTGCCCGCCACTGAGATTGCATGGATTGCAGATACTGGGAGCGCACACGATCTTGTGTCTAGACACATGCTACATTCGGATGAAGTGTCACAATCGTCCAAACCGGTCAGTCTTCTTACTGCCAACGGAGTCTTTCAAGCCACTGACCAAGCCAGAGTCAATGTCCCCGTGTTGGGAGCTGATATCAATCCTTACGTCTTGGAAGATAGCCCAGCCGTCGTATCGGTAGGACAACGCTGCATCGACGCAGGATGGAGCTTCCATTGGCCCGCTTACAGTAGGCCGTACTTCAAGAAACCAGACGGAACCAAAGTCAAGCTTGAAGTAGAGGATTATGTTCCATACTTGCCATCAACCACTGGTGTTGCAATGTCCGCCATAGGTCAACCTTACGGTACGAACGATCGGTCAAGGGGGCTGCGACCAATGATCCCTCTGCCCGCGTCACCGGCTGAAGAGGCAATTGAGGTCCAGGACGATGAGGACAACCCCATCGGCGAGGATCCTGCTGAAGATGATCCCGAGCCAGTGGATGAAAGGTTGGTGGAGAAGCCGTTGGACCCGAAGAGGGATAGGGGAGAGAAAGCTCTCAAGGAAGAAGCGCAATCCATTCAACATCTGTTGACTCATACCCCGAAGAACCCCTTTTGTCAAGCCTGCTCGAGAGCAAAGATGACCAAACGTCCATCGTATAGCAAGGGTGGTTCAACCCAGGTAGAGGCGGATCATTTCGGACAACATTTGACTGCTGACCATCTTGTTATTCGTGACGATGAGGAAATGGACATCGATGGGGCTCGCGTCGCATTGGTCGTGAAAGATGTGGCAACGGATTTCAGATATGTCTATCCGGCCGCACGTCGATCAACACGTGAATGCATAGCAGCCTTCAAGCATTTTGTCCGTTCGACTGATGATGTAGGAGTATTTTATTCCGACAATTCACCAGAACTCATCGCGACTGCCGAAAGGCTAGGATGGAGGCATCAAACCAGCTTTGCATACGTCTCTAAGACCAATGCTATGGCTGAGAGATCGATTCGGTCTGTCATCGATGGAACAAGGGTAAACCTAGAGCAAGCTGGCCTACACCATCAATATTGGGCTCACGCTGCCAGGCATGCATGCATGGCAAACAATATCGTCGACACCCGGGAGGGTAGTTCGCCTTGGTCGCTTCGATTCGGTGAGAAGTTCACAGGCCCTTTGGTTCCCTTTGGGTTGAGGATTGATTACTGGATCGGCCCCAAGAACAAAGCCAAGTCCTCTCTCAGGTTCGAGCCAACGTCAAACCCAGGGATATTCTTGGGATATGCCGTTCAGTCCAATTTTGTGTGGAGAAAGGAGTTCATGGTTCTACCATTGAAGGATGTCATGGAATCAGACTTCAGTGCGGAGATTCAACCATTAAGAGTCCATCAGATTGCCGTTCCCGACATCGGATTACACTTCCCATGCAAAGGCAGGTACAACATGATAAGAGAAGGTTTGTACCCAGGCATTTCCATTTCGAGCAATCCGCCATCAATTGATGATGTCAAGGCTGCAAACATTGAAGAGCTTGTTGATCAGGAGGTTTTGAAACATGCTGTTGACCAAGAGTATGAACCTGATGAACCACCAGAACTCCCTGACGTGCTAATTGACGATGCACCCATCGCCACTCGCGGGTCGGGAGACCTTGCCGACGATCCGGGGGGTGAAGAGGTTGAGATGATTGAGGTTCTTGATCCTGTTACGGGTGAAACAACTTTGATCCCCAAAACCGATTCATCTTACTATGATGCCGGAGGTTACAAGGCAAGAAAGTACAAGGGTTCGTCAAAACCACCCAGCATTCCTCCGTTCCTTTGGAAAGCCGCTTCCAAAGCAGAAAGGAAGAAGGCGATTGCAGAGTATGAGCTCGAAGAGGCTCGGAAGCGCCTTCTTGCTGAGAAGAGCAAGCATAAAGCAGCCGTGGCAGACATTGACGGC